ACACAGTCGGGTTTAAGAACACAGACAGTATGTTTTTATAACAAGTGAAACTGTTCTTTCAATAGCAAACAAAAGGATGCAGTAGAATGGTTGAATATTTGTCGTTGCTATTCGTCATGAAATCAACGAGCGTGATCGCGATTTTAGGCCAGCCACGCTTTCATACCTGCCCTACTATATCTTATTCGCAGTGTGCGCGGCAGCCAGCGGTTTGTTGCAGAATGAGCATTTGGACGGATTTACAGGAAATTGTCGCGGCAATAATAGCTGGAAAGAGTATTAGAAACATTAAGACTTTGTAGTAATTAGATTGTATTTATTACGCATTATTAATTTGATTGAACCGCTCCAAGTGCTCTGTGTCGGCACAGACACTCGACAGCTGCCATGCGCTTTAGGCCCTTCAGTTGTACACTTGATTTTATGTGGAGTTGGTGTGCTCTACCCCCACGGACGTAACATTACGCCATCCTCATTATGCAAGCACAATTTCAATTACACTGACAGTGACCGGCTGCCTACAGCCTAGTTAAAAGTAGTTGAGGTAGATAGTAGATGACTTGTTGGGCAAGTCTAGCTCTAGAAACATGTTGTCTAACAGAAGGAATTGGCTTCCGACCTGTGATTGAGGATAAAAAATAGCCACTCCGTGCCGCTGTACGGCTCATTATGCTATGACCAGGTAGAACGTGTATTCGGACTATCATGAGGAGGCGAATGATTATGCAGTTACATTTCTATAAATTCTAGCTATATAGACACATGTCTTAACCTTAATCTTCTGAGAATCTTTTGAAGTCTATTGAAGCACGGTAAGTCTAATTAATTGGCAAATATGTGCACGCGCGGTATCGCTCATAGCGTTAGACTATATATAAATATCACTCGCCTGGCTATTATTGCCCAGTAGCGGTAGGAACGCTTGGCTAACGGCTTCTATAGGAGTGTTCCAACTTTGATATCACATTAATGATATAATGATTAGATGATCGATAAGTCCTAACTCTAACCCTGAACCTAACGAACATATTAAAGCACAACTTTATATGACACATGACCCCATATTATTATCATATATATATATATATATTATATATTATGATATATTGTCTATTGATGCCATTCAATGCATTAAAGTTGGCGAACGGCTTAATGGGTTATCACGCCGGCGGCTGTCTGTACATAACTTTGTATGGCTCCCGCACTGTGAACGATCTTGAGTTACAATTTTACTAATAAATCATCGTCCTATTTTATTCAGCTATTATAGACACATGTCTTAGCCTTAATCTCTGTGAATTTTAAGTATTGAAGCACGATTAGTCTAATTAATTAGCACATATGCACGCGCGGTATCGCTCATAGGCTAATAATACACGCGCGGCTATGACCGGTGAAACGAAACGTCACGAATTCTATTTTTATCCTCTAATCACAGGTCGGAGCAATTCCTCTGTTTAGACGCAGTAGAAGATATGACCAATTGTGTACATTGTATTGTAGACATGAAGTATTGTGGGACATGTCTTCTTGACTAGGGCAATGTGAGTTGTGTTAGTTGTCATTGACACTATGATGACTATATTAGTATATATATAGCCAGCAGTGATGGGAAATGGCCGTCAATCTTTGGCCGGCCAAGCTGTAGCCTTTAGCTGTAACCTGTGACATAGTAATAGCAGAAATATGGGCCGACATGTCCCACAATACTTCATGTCTACAATACAATACACAATGGGTCATGTCTTCTAGACTAGCTCTGAAATATGCTAGCTGGCAAGATAAATGTCCTGACTGTAACTTCCGACCCAAATCAAACTTAACTATCTGTAATTTGGCCTAATTAAGCTGTTTATCTAAAGAAAACAAACCAAAAGGATATGTGACCGTATCGATTGTGAGAGCAACGTTTTGGCTGCAAGCTACAGACTGCGGGTGTTTCTTATTTTTTTATTAATTTGAGGAGAAATGGATTGCAATATATTATAAACAACACTTAATTTCAGTTATAATATGGACGAATTTGTCATAACATAAAATGGTTCAATTAAATGGCAGTTAGGCGTAAATATACTTGCACTTTTGTGATTAACCATTAGTCTGTGATGTGCAAAATAAATTGGCAAATGTGCAACTTTTTCAGGGTGGCAGCAATAGTAAAAATTATTTTAAAATAAAATGCTAAAATTATTTGCCCATCTGTGCAGCAAAAGCTGTGGTCAATCAAGTCAACCCTTTTATACTGGAGTCTGTTGCTCGATTTGTGTAAACCAGATAACTACTCAGTAGCGCGCATTGCTTGATTTTTCTTTGCAGCTTCTTTGGCACGTGGTTACAGCAGTAAAGCACACGAAACGGATGAGGAGTTTGATAGAAGATACGAGGCATACTTCAACAGGTATTTGAAGAACAGCAGTATAGCTCACAATTACAGCATCCTTCTGGTGTTTAATTTTGTTGATGGTAGATTTTAATGATGATGGGTTTTGAAAATTGTTATTCTTCATTTATTAGCTCATCTGACATAGTCAGATGCAGCTTGTAGAATCGCATGATCGTCCGTGCGTGCGTGCGTCCGTCCGTCAACAGTTCTGCACAAATCTTAACCGCTCGACGTACGGTCACGATATTCGGGACGTTGGGGGGGGATTGTCAAAACGAGTTTCCAATGGCGAGGCTCGTACGGGAGTTGGAAAGCAGTGCGCCGCCTATAGCCCATAGACTGGTACTCGCTCCCACCTCTCGGCTTAGCTTAGTTACTCGATGCGTAATCGATCTTAGATGCATGAGGATGGATAATCGAGGTGGGAGCGAGTACCAGTCTAAATAGCCCTGTACTGGCAGCCATTTACATTTACTGGGCAACGGTAGTGAACGCGAGAATTTCGTCAGTCTGTGTGATTTCGCGTGACAGCTCGGTTACTAACAGAGACAGTATGTTTTTATAACAAGTGAACACTGTTCTTGAAATGGAAACAAAGATGGAAGCTGTTGGATGTGTATTCGTGCTGTGAAGGCGTGAAATCAATGGAGCATCGAGCGAATTTAGGGATCCCGCTTTCCTACCTGCTATATATATATATAAGTGTAAGTGTGCACAGTGCAGCCGCGAGAGCAATGGCTGCCGGCAGCATATGTTGTACGTAGGATTTGGACGGAATTTACAGGAAACTGTTGGCAATAATAGGTGAAAGAGAGTATAGAAACATTAAGAATTTGGTAGTAAATAGATTTTGTATTTATTTAGCATTATATTTTATTGAAACGCTTCAAGTGCCTGTGGGAAAGCGTGCTGCCAAAATTCGCTCGACGCTTGCTTGATTTCTGATCATTTCATACGAATACAACACAAATATTCAACCATTCTACTCCATCTTTGTTTCTATTTGAAGAACAGTGTTCACTTGTTATAAAAACATAGTGTCTGTGTTCGTAACCGAGCTGTGTCGCGCGAAATCACACAAAGCCTGACGAAATTCTCGTGTTCGCTTCCGTTGCGCAGTTTATGTAAATGGCTGCAATTACAGAGCTATAGGCGGCGCACTGCATTTTGGAAAACTACCACGCTTCTTTTCAACTCCTGTACGAGCCCACGTCAAAGCCGCCAGTGGAGCATTGCAAAAACGTTGCAGCATTGCGGCGCAAAAATGAGGTCACGAAGAGCGCCGGTGGGTGTTTTC